CCTACAAAGGACACGAACTCATATTCCATGGTGTATATGTGCCACATTTTCTTTATCCAGTCTATCATCTATGGGCATTTGGGTTGGTTCCAAGTCTTTGCTATTGTAAACAGCGCTGCAATGAACATACATGTGCATGTGTCTTTATAATAGAAAAATTTATAATCCTTTGGATATATACCCAGTAATGGGATTGCTGGGTCAAATGGAATTTCTATTTCTAGGTCCTTGAGGAATTGCCACACTGTCTTCCACAATGGTTGAACTAATTTACACTCCCACCAACAGTGTAAAAGTGTTCCTATTTCTCCACATCCTCTCCAGCATCTGTTGTCTCCAGATTTTTTAATGATCGCCATTCTAACTGGCATGAGGTGATATCTCAATGTAGTTTTGATTTGCATTTCTCTAAAGACCAGTGATGATGAACATTTTTTCATATATTTGTTGGCTTCATATATGTCTTCTTTTGAAAAGTGTCTGTTCATATCCTTTGCCCACTTTTGAATGGGTTTGTTTGTTTTTTTCTTGTAAATCTGTTTTAGTTCTTTGTAGATTCTGGATATCAGCCGTTTGTCAGATGGGTAGATTGCAAAAATGTTTTCCCATTTTGTTGGTTGCCGATTCACTCTAATGATTGTTTCTTTTGCTGTGCAGAGGCACTGGAGTTTAATTAGGTCCTATTTGTCTATCTTGGCTTTTGTTGCCAATGCTTTTGGTGTTTTAGTCATGAAGATCTTGCCTATGCCTATGTCCTGAATTGTTTTGCCTAAGTTTTCTTCTAGGGTTTTTATGGTGTTAGGTCTTATGTTTAAGTCTTTAATCCATTTGGAGTTAATTTTAGTGTAAGGTGTCAGGAAGGGAGTCCAGTTTCTGCTTTCTGCACGTGGCTAGCCAGTTTTCCCAACACCATTTATTAAACAGGGAATCCTTTCCCCATTGCTTGTTTTTGTTACGTTTGTCGAAGATCAGATGGTTGTAGATGTGTGGTGTTGCCTCCAAGGCCTCTGTTCTGTTCCATTGGTCTATATCTCTGTTTTGGAACCAGTACCATGCTGTTTTGATTACTGTAGCATTGTGGTATAGCTTGAAGTCAGGTAGCATGATGCCTTCGGCTTTGTTCTTTTTGCTTAGAATTGACTTGGCTATGTGGGCTCTCTTTTGGTTCCATATGAAGTTTAAGATGGTTTTTTCCAGTTCTGTGAAGAGGGTCATAGGTAGCCTGATGGGGATAGCATTGAATCTATAAATTACTTTGGGAAGTATGGCCATTTTCATACTTCCCACAGAGAAATGGCACAGAGAAAAATTGTATTTTGCATAGAAAAATTTTAAATGGCACAGAGAAAAATTTTATTTGAAAGGAGAGAAAGAAAACAAATCCCTTCCCTTGTATATCTCTTCTCCTGTATATCTGCAGCTTGACAAGCTTCAGTTGAAGGGTTGGCTTTAAGTCTGTTTTCATTTCCAGTGGGTACGCTTTGAGTTGGCACACAAATTCAATGTGTGAATGGTGTGGGAGTTAAGAAAGTTGCATTGCTATTTCTCTTTTTAAAATTAACAGTGGAATCCTTATGCGAGCCGTGTAGGCTCCGGAATGTGCCACACGCTGTTCTCTAACTGCATAATGAGGGAGTTCTCCATAATAAAGTAGTCCTCATTCTTGCCAAAATTAGTGCCCCTCCTCCACACCCTCCTCTGAGAGGCAGGAGACTGACAGCTGCTCTGCAGGCCTCCCCGACTCCTATAATTTCACTGTCAATGTAGCCTCCACATCCTAGCTACAGGGCATCTCAGGTGAGGCTTACCGATTGAGTCTACCTGCTCTGAGGTCCCTGTCTTCTTTAGCTTTCTGGCTTTTCTGACACCATGAATACCTTCCTGATCTACGTTATGTGCACATACACTCCTTGGCAAGGTCAGTTCCCAGTGGCTCTCTGCTACTCTTTATAGGGAAGACCTTTCTACACAAATGTGGTCCTTCAACCAGCAGAAGTGGCACCATGGGAGTTTACTAGAAATGCAGATTCCAAGGCCTACCCCAGCCCTACTTTATTAGAACCTGTGGGTTTTTTTGTTTTGTTTTGCGTTTGTTTTTGTTTTTCAAGACAGAGTCTTGCTCTGTCACCAGGGTGGAGTGCAGTGGCACCATCTCAGCTCACTGCAACTTCTGCCTCCCGGGTTCAAGTGATTCTCCTGCCTCAGCCTCCTGAGCAACTGGGACTACAGGTGCCCGCCACCACGCCCAGCTAATTTTTTGTATTTTTAGTAGAGATGGGGTTTCACCATGTTGGCCAGGATGGTCTCAATCTCTTGACCTCGTGATCCATCTGCCTTAGCCTCCCAGAGCACTAGGATTACAGACGTGAGCCACCGCGCCTGGTCCCACCAGAACCTGCGGTTTAACAAGCTCCCCCAGATGATTTGTGTGCACACTACAGTCTGAGGCGTGCTGGGTGTATACTTGGGAGCAGATCAGAAGGCTAAGTTTCTGTCTTCAGTCTTGATCAACCAATCAACTAATCATCTAATCAAGGCCTACTTTCCTAGGTGGATCATCTTTCATATGCTAAATGTGGAAATCAGAGTAATAAAAAGGTACCAGCCCTGGGGGCTCCCAAGTAAAAACTTTTATCATGGTGATTGCAAGATTAAGGACAGTAACGTGGCCCAGGAAGGTAGGAACATGGGGGGCATCTGAGAATTCTGTGGCATCTGTGAATGCAGAGGCTGCCATGCAGTTTAGGCCCCTGCAGTGACTTATCAGGATTATCTTACATTGGGTGGTCGTTCTGACAGCAGAGAAAAAGACTCCTGATTTTGTTTTTTGACAAAAATCCATGGCTGGGCAGGTGGGTGAGTGCGCAGGCAGGCCCTGTGTCCTGCTGTGGCTTCTGCACGGGTAACTTAAAACCTCTTCAAGAAAGTCATCAACTAGAAATTAATTTATAGTTATAAAATTATTATAAAACCATTCCTTAAGGATATACTGATCACATATTTAAAGTTTTCCTCCTAGGCTGGGCTGGGTGGCTCATGCCTGTAATCCCAGCACTTTGGGAGGTTGAAGTGAGTGGATCACCTGAGGCCAGGAATTGGAGATCAGCCTGGCCAACATGGTGAAAGCCTGACTCTACTAAAAATACAAAAATTAGTCAGGTTTGGTGGCAGGTGCCTGTAGTCCCAACTACTCCGGAGGCTGAGGCACGAGAATCGTTTGAGTCCAGGAGGCAGAGGTTGCAGTGAGCCAAGATTGCATAACTGCGCTCCAGTCTGGATGACGGAGCATGACTCTGCCTCAAAAATAAAAATTAAAAAAAATAATAAATTTTAAAATGAGGTGTTCCTTGTAGGTTCTTAAAGTCCTGTGTGGCTCTTCACTTTCCTATGCTTCCATCATCCAACATGCCTTCAAGGTTATTAATTCTTTAGAAATGTGTTTTCATTAACTTCTTTCATTTTCTTTTCTGTGCCATCCCTAAAGTCCAAGCTATTATAACTTCTAATTATAACAGTTATTAGATGACTACTGGTTTACAAAATATTTCCCCAAACACATCTTTAAAATGTCTTTAGCTGCACAGAGTTTCCTAAGATGATGTTTATCAGGCTACTTTCCTGTTTCATAACCACAGTGATGGTCCATCTAAATGACTCTCCTTTATCTTCAGTGCTTCGGTGATCTGGCCTCATGTCACCCAGACAAACTTGGCATATATACCCGAAATATTGGTCAAGATTTCTTTCCCAACATAATCTCTTGACAAATAGAAAGTCACTTTATATATGTCTTTACAAAGTTGGGTGCCTTTTGAAAAAGCACTGGTAATGTGCATATTTTCTTTTTGGGGGGACAGAGTCTTGATCTGTTGCCAGGCTGAAATGATCTCAGCTTACTGCAACCTCCCCCTCCCTGGTTCAAGTGATTCTCCTGCCTCAGCCTCCTGAGTAGCTGGGATGACAGGCAAGCACCATCATAACCAGCTAATTTTTGGATTTTTAGTAGAGATGGGGTTTCACCATGTTGGCCAGGGTGGTCTTGATCTCTTAACCTCGTTATCTACCAGCCTTGGCCTCCCAAAGTGCTAGGATTACAGACATGAGCCACGGCACTGGCCAATGTGCATATTTTCTCAATTACTTTATTTGGAAAGAAAAATCACTGCTTGGGGATCACATTTTAGACTGAAATCAGTGCTAGCTTGGGATGCTTATTGAGATTACTTGTTAGAACAAAAAAAAAAAAAAAAAAAAAAAAAAAAAAAAAAAAAAAAAAAAGGAGGAAAAGACATCAAATACAGTTTAGTAATTACTTCTGGAAGTGCGACCTCACTTCTAAGACTTTAAAACTGATTATTTTTGAAAGATTACTTAAAATATAAAGTAAGAAGGTACTTTGTGGAGATCATGAGTGTGCAACTATAGGAAGAAGGATATAAAAACTCATCTAACGGGATGGAACTGGTAAATTGTGGCTTGGACAATAACTTTATACATGAATTGAAGTAATGCCATATATCCAATACCTTAGATGACCATAGAGATGAGGTATTCTGTAAAATTGTGGTAGATGACTCAAAATATGCCTGTAAGTGATTATAGTGATGCATGAGAAGAGTTTCAAAGACTGATGTGTAAAATGTGAAAATGGAGAAAAGCAGTGTTTGTATGTTGCATGAGACATGACTGTAAACAAGCATGTGCATTCAAGGAAAGCCTTGCTGCCCACACATTGACACCACAGGGCCTTCCTCAGCAGGGTCAGCGCCTAGACCTCCCCAGCCTGAGGGCTCACTATGGGGTCAGTCCACATCAGGTGACCAAGCAAGGTAAAGACAGAAAGCCCTGGCCACTTTGGCTTCACTGAGGGTAACTCTGGTAGGCAACATTTGCTCTAGAGCTCCCTGAAGGGTTGGTGGAGTCTTTGTCAGGCTTGTATCACAGTTTAATATCTTTCTCTGCTAAATCCTGCTTCTTTTCTCTTTCTTTGACAGGTATTGATCTCTAAAAAACATTCACATTCCAAATTCCATCTCAGCATCTGTTTCTGGAGAATTCAGTCTGTGTCAGCATGGGTACTATGTTAACAAATATTACAAGAAGATGTTGATTAGTTCATCTACCTCCTTACAAATTTACACATTCAGGTTGGCTACTGAAATTTTTCTTTAAACATGATCTCATTGGGAAAACTGGGTATCTCCTTATGAATAAGGTCAATTTTTATTGCATACTCTCAGTATTCCCATTGATACTGTATTAAGGCTGGTCCACTCACTTCCCCTCCTGCCCTATCCCCTATTCCCATATCACACCCAATTGCACTCATTCCTCCACTTAGGTTCTGGTTCATGCCATTTCCTTGAAGTAGATTTCTGTCCTTGTGTTCTCTTGCATATGTAGACACTACTCATTCTTAAGGTCTTCAAGGAGAATACTGCTTCCTCCACAAAGACCTCCTCAACTTATGTAGCCTTCTCTTTTATTCTTAATTTTAAAAAATAAATGTCATTTTGTTTTAAAAATGCAACTCAGTTAAGTGAAGCTATTTTCTAATCATTTCATGTGAATTATATCTCCCAGTACCTAATACAGCACAGAGAGCATAAGGTAGTTACTAGTAAAAACACTAGTCAATTGAGTAAAATTAATTACTAACAATATCAAAAATATTAAGGAACATCCAAACAATTTAAAGTTTAAATTATACCCTGGGGGAGCAGTATGTTCCAAAGCCTGTTTCCTGGATTTTCTTTTTTCTTTAAAAAATGTTTTTATGGTCAAATTTATTTGGAAAATGTTGCCTGTCATATCTTCCTATTGGGGATGAGTGCATTGGGTAATTAAAGGATTTGAGAAGTCTCTCAGTAAATAAATTGGTTGACTTTAACCAAACTATTTTAATCAAAATGCATTTATTCCCTGTTTTGATTAGCATCTATGAGCATCTCTGTGGAATCTGTGTTGTGCAGAACATACTTTGGGAGCTGTGTCCTGGCAGATAGCAGAGACCTAGATGCCCATAGAAATAGGCTCCGTGTCAAATGGGCTGATGACTGGCACCTCCAAATCTAAGGGGTGACATGGCTGTAGCAGGCTTGCAATGTCACCATTGCAGGCACAGGAAGCCAGCTGAAGGAACTGGAAGGTGGAGCTGGCAGTTCATGCCAGTGACTCATGGGAAAGAGTTGATTTAGGGTAGCCAGTCTCAACCCTGGCTGCACATCGGAATCACCCAGGGAGCTTTAAAACACCCTGACGCCTGGGTCTCACCCCTGGAGACACTGATGTCATGGGCCTGGGGTGGGGCCTGGGCACTGGTATACTGTAAATTCCCCACAGGATTCCAGTTGCAGCCAAAGCTGAGAGCCACTGCTTCGGGCAAGTGGGGATGCTCGTGTGTGAAATGATTTTTTTCTTCCAGATTCCAGGTTTCTTTTATTGAATGTATCTGCTGTACGGGAAATTACTCTGGGAAATTGATAAGTAAATAACCATCTGTGCTGCTCATCTTGGCGCTTGAACCTCCGACTGTAAGTAGGGTCTGAGAACCACCAGCGCTGGTTAGAAAGGCAGAGTGTCCCGCCCCACCCAGATCCCGGTCCTGATGCCTGGGTGATCTGTAGGAGCAGTGCAGCCTAAGAGCACTGGGCTAGGCTGGAGGTGCCTGGTGAAAAGCAGCTCCCCTCGCTGGAAGCCTGTGACCCAGAGGGCCTGCTGTGCACCTGCCTCTGACTTTATCTCAGTCCCACAGGTGCAGTCAGGCTGGCTCCTATGCCTCTGTCCTGCTTCCCCAGAGGATGGCTGCCTACCCCTCGAAGGAGCCTTCAGGGGCCTCCACAGTACCCTTTCAAACACCAATTAGTCAATATTTTAAGTTGGGGCACCCCAAATTGGTGGAAATCTATCTGGTTGTGTTCCCTGATGCATTAAGAAGCAGAAAAGAACAGAAATATAATTTTATTTCTATAGATGATAAACATTGTCAGAAATGGTTCTTTTCCTTCTTTGTTTTGCATTTAGTGAAGAGTAGGGGAATATCAGAAATGAAGGCCCTGAAAGATGAACTAAATCATCCAAACACCTATGAGCCAGGTATGGGTGAGTCTGCCACTACAGAGGCCCATGGGAGCTGAGCTGGATGAATGCAGAGTGAAGAGTCAGAGACCCCACAGACGCCAGTGGTGAACTCCTTTGACTGTGTTGGCGCATCTAGCTCCACTGTCAAACAGGATCATAACTTGCTCCATCAATGACCCGTTCATAGTGCGTGCCTGTCTCATGCAAGATGTGCTCATTACTTTAACAGAACGTTTACCTTGTAAACGTTTCTCATAATGAAAAACAAACAGACCAGTAACCTCATATTTTTGTGATGAGGAGATTTTTTTGGTTCATCAGCCTGGCCCTTTCTCCATTATCAAGCTTATGGCAGGGCTGATATTCCAGGGCAAACACTCACCTTCTTGGTGCCCACGAGCAGTGGACTCCTCATTCTGCTTTGGTTTACTGCTTCCACATTAACTCATTAACTAGCTCCCTTATTCATTGTTCAACAGACAATTCTCATCTACTGTGTTGGGAACAGGGCTAGGCAGTGGGTCTTCCTGTTCTTATCTACCTAGAATTCAGAGAAGAACACAGTGCATGGAGCCTAGTGATGGAGAAAACCTCGACGTGGCAACTTCCAGATCCTATCATAGAAGATGGAGCCACACGTCTCTCCAGGATGCATATTCTGGGAGGTTTATTCCCAAGTAGGAAGAGAGTGTGGGTGATAGGCAGCCCCACGCTTGGCAAATGTTCACTAAAGAAGGTATCTTTACTACGGTGGGTCCATCTGCATTCTCCTATTCCATATCCCTTGCCTGTGAAGAGTCTGCAAAGGTTAGGTGCTCCTGCAGCATACCCAGCCTTCTGCATAGGGAAGAAGACAAGTTAGACTTCCAAACAAGGTGGCATACAACCGAGAACTCTGTTGGAGGCAGCTAGCAGAAACCCGATCCAAATTAGCTTAAGCAAAACAGAAATTTTATTTTAAGGATATGGGAGAGATTTGTCAATTACAGCTCAATAAAACAGGGAAAAGGATGTGGGGAAGGTGCATGTCTCATGGAATCCAATGGAGCCAATGCTTAGACTTTGGGAATGACACAAATCCAAAAACATGAATGCCCTTAGGACTCTGCTTCTAATATTCATATAATTGATAATATTTGTGGAGCATTTATTATGTCCTAGGCATTTTTTCCGCTTAGGTTCATTGCATTTTATTTATTTATTTTTACAACAACTCTGTAAAATCTGAACTAAAATTATTCCATTTTTCAGAGGTGGAAGCCTGGGGAAGTAAAGGCACGTGTCCAATGTCACACAGCTATTGTAGTAAGAGAGCAGGTGTGAATATAGAGCCTGTGCTAGTGACCCTCACCATACCACCGTCTCCTGCCTTGGTGCTGACTGCTGTCCCCTGTCCCTCAGCTCAACTCACCCCAAGTTTCACACATCCATCCATCAGTCTATGGGGACACCACATTTTTCTGTCTCACGTCATGTCTCAAGGAAAGGACTATGATTGGCCAGCTTGGGTTAAGTCCCAGGGGTTTCACCCAGAGGAGGCTCTGCCATACCAAGGAGAAGAGATGGGGGAGAGTGAGCGCTTCAGGGGCAAGGTGACCATTTTCAGGAACTGAGTGCTTCTGGGCAGCCAAACAATTGTTAACTACAAATTTCGCCTTTGCCTCCTGCATGACTTTTCATTTTTGCTCTACTTTCTAGCAATTTAGAAATACATTTAATTTTCTTTCTTTCTTTTTTTTTATACATTTAATTGTCAGAGGCACTGACTAACTCATTCCACATGTCTGGGAGTGTCTAGTTCTCTGCCCTATTTTACAGAGCTTTCCTCTTCTTTTACTATTTTTTTCAATCAGTAAAAAAAAATTCAATTCTCCTGTTTCATACTGTGCTTGATTTTTTTGGTAAGCTGTCTTAGCTTACAAAAATATTTATGGAAATATGTGAGGGATAAATTATGGATTAAAAAAGAAAAAAGACTTCAGAGTTATGCTATCAACATGATCGCTACTAGCCATGTATGACTATTTAAACTTAATTAAAATTAAATAAAATAAAAAATTTAGTTCCTCAGTCACACAAGCCATAGTTTAAATGCTCAACAGCACAGTATAGTTCTATATTACAGACTATTTCCCTAATTGCTGAAAGTTCTCCTGGGTAGTGCTGCCACACAGGGTTTCAACAATGGTGTGCTGTCTCTGAAATAATGAGCTCCCTAAAGGAAGTGGCTGGATGACCTGTGTTCACCCTCCAGATCCCAGGGGTTGTGAGTCCCAGCTTTCATTCCCACCATTATGTTTCCCGTTGATTACTTCCTGACTCACTTCCCTATTCATTTTCTCAAAGCCAACATTTACATCACATAAGTTATTCCTTCTCTGTTGCAGAAAAAATATGCAATGGTAATAGGGGGGTTGAAGGGACATTTATTACTGATACTAAAAATGTAATGCACTTAATTAGAGGTGGGACTGAAGGAATGTGTGAACTGAAAATGCTGGCTAACAAAATTGTTTACACATGGAAATGCGGTAAGAGCCCCGAAACAGAGCTCCCATGTTCTCCCTGGTGGGAAAGTTTCCATCTTTCCTCTTTTTGTAACTGTCCAGAAAAGACAGAATGTTTTTGATCAAAGTGGCTTTGAATCTTTAGCATTACTTTCTCCCATTGGAACAGAACTTTTTCCCATGCAGTGCCAATCCACACGTTTAGTTTCTGCAGCTCCTTAGTTTTATTGGGATGGGGTTGGGGGGTGGGGACACCATCCTGTTTGAAAGGGTTTACAGCTGATACTACTGTTCACAGTAAATTCCTAGAGTGGGAGGAGGAAGAGGCACATTTTTGGAGCAGCTAGGTGGCTGGAAGAGATTCTCCGCCCCCAAGACTGGTCAGCTGCCCTGTGAAAATGAGAGCTGCTCACTTCTCCTTGGCAGTGTGCTCCAGCAGGGACATTGGTCCCTAGATATAGCACCTTCCAGCAATGTTCTCATGCCCCAAGGCTGTTATTGAAATAGCAGGGTTGTCAAACCTGAAGGAACCATTGCCTGTGGGCTGCAGGGATCTGGAACCCTGACCCAAACCAGGACGGAGGAGGTGCTCAGTAATGATTATGATTCAGCTGTCCAACAGCTCAGTAAAAGGGGGACTAGGAGTCACATGCAACTTGATTTAAAGGAGTCCAAAAATATGTGATATTTATTGTGCACCTGAGTTTAAGAACTGATATTCTTGCTTACTGAAGTTGAACGTACTAAGTTTGGACATAAAATTTGAGGGGCGGGTAAGGGCAGTGTCTTTGTGACTGGCACGCACAGAACACAGATGACATTCTGAAAGCCACCGTCCAGGACTGAAGAGTTGCTTTCCACATTCTGGAATTGTGACACGAGGTTCACTTTAGAGAGTCTTTTGTGGATAAGCCGCATCAATGAACAGTCCTAGTGTGTGTGAGTGTGAGCTCAGCTTTGTTCTGTCAAGTCTTAAGACAGCATTTGATTTAGCAATTGATTCAATTACATTACATGTGGATTTGGCAAAGTGGTGTGTGTGTGTGTGTGTATTTCTTTTAAACAATGATGATAACCTTTCTGAATTCAGGTGGAAGCTGTCTTGACTGACAGCCAGGTACCTGGTGATTAACTCTCCGTTTCTTTTGTGAAACATACAAACATGCCCTGAGCTCACTGAGCTCTCACAGCTGGTAGGACGGGAGGCTCCTCTTTAGTAGGCTCACAGTGTGTTGTTTACCTCTTTCCTAGCCTGTTCATTCCACTTAATTGTATCATGATAACTACACAATTTGAGCAAATATTACTGAAACCAGTGACACACAGGTACACAAAGAAAGGGGAAGTGTTTTCAATGAAAAGAAGCAAAATGCTTGGGAAAGATTCAACGAGGAAAAGTTGCTTTAAATGTGTTGTTGGATTATATTTGATGGTTATGAGTACAGAATCTAAGATTCTTTAGTCAAGATGCTTTACACTGTCTTTAAATTCTCATTTCACAAAGGAAACTCAAATGAGACAACATGGAGGATGCATTATCTGTGTGGTTCACCAAGAGAGGGAACAATACAGCACTCTAATCAGCACATCTATATTCAAAGAAAGGCACTGGCTGAAAAAAGCACTGGTGAGTAAATAGACATCTCAGTTCTCTGCTAAAATAAAATGTTTGCAGAGGCAAGAGTCCCTTTGACTGCCCGTTGAGCGCCCTCTGCTGGCCGGGAGGGAAGGGTGCCACGGCGGGGACGGCGTGGAGGCCCCACCCACGGTTTAGTTTCAGATCAGCGCTTTTCAGTTCTAAGATGCAGATTTCCGGTTCCAATGAATGCCGGCTGAAAATAGGGCCGTGGTTAAATCAATATCATGAAACTATTTTACGCCCGTAGTACTTTCATCTATTTTTATAAGAATGTTTTGTAGTTGAGAAACCTAAAGAGACGATGAATTTCCCCACCGCCCCCGACTATTTTGCCTTTCAGTGACTTGGTAATATTTTACGATAGATGCCGATTCAAAGGCAGTGGCTTTCAAAAAGTACAGCTGCTCTTCTTTGGTGCCGCTATGCAGAATGACGATGTGAAATGAAAATGATTCTGACTATGGGAAGGTCTGATTTTCCTATGAATGAAAACAATCATGTGTGCAACAGAGAGCTCTCTCTCTCCAGCCATCGAGGGACTTTTTGCAGAGAGAGAAAAGGATGCTAAAGGCATGTTCCCGATACTGCAGACTTGGCGAGATGGCGGCGGGCTCCTCCCGCCTCTGCAGCAGCGTCACAATCAATAATGCAGGGCTCTGCGGCAGAGGAAGCGCCTGCTTTTATATAGGGGCGCCGGGACCCCGGAGTAGGTCTGGTCCATTAGCCCATCGCGCCATCTAGCGTCCGCAATGGCTCATAGCAGGTTGAAGCTGGACAGTCTGGAGACGGCAATCTAGCTTTTGCAGAAGGGTAACTTTTAGCCTTCTGCAAAATCTAGATCTCACTTAATGTAGATCTCACTTAAGAAGGCATATACAAAGTCAGTGCAGTGTTTATTCATTTGCCTGTCAGATTCGTAATTTTAAGACTGGAAACTCTAAATATTTACCAAGTCCCTGCTGTAGGTCAGTCATGTTGTGGGTACCAAGGCGATGATGTCTGAGTCTCTATTTTCAGTGACCCAGTCTAGTAGGGACAAGCCATATGAACATATGTCCAGTTAAATCTGAATTTCAGGTTAACAAGAAATTTGTTTTTAGTGTGTCTCCCATATATGCTAAAGCAGTTAGCTGGCATCTATTATTATCATTATTTTTATAAGCAAAATCCTGCAACCCTGCATTTAAACAGGTAATTGCAGTACAGGTTTTACAAGGGCAGGGTGACAGACTAATTGCTTGAGGAGCTTTGCTGTAGGAGCTGGTTAGGAAGGCTTCTCAGGGGAGAAGTCACTTATGCAAACTGCTCATCAGATAATGGAGTGGGCAGGATTGTCCTGGTAGAATCACATAAGCAAAAGCAAGCAGCTGGGGGACTCACAGCACAGCAGGTCTGTGCTGCCCGAGCTGGGAGGTGAGGCAAGGAGAGTGCAGGAGTGAGGTTGTTTTGTTGTGCAAGGCCTTCTACCCTGTTCCCAGGAACTGCCTTTTATTCCAGGGGGAGTGAAAAAGGGGTTTTGAATGGGAGAGTGACATGATCAAATTTGTGTTTAAGAAAAAGAGATCAAATAGCAATGTTGAGGCTGGACTAGGGAAGGTAGGAAGCTGGGAGGCAGGGAGGCCTGACGGAAATTATCTGAGATGAGTGAACTCAGCAAAGTAGCAGAGCCTGAATGTGAATGAAGGTCTTCTGACTCCAGGTCCAGGATGTCTGTCACTGTCCCCATCTAATTGAATTATGATTCACATGTGCAACCATTTTACAAATCAGGAATGACACACCGCATTATGCATACTTTTCCTTCTCTGAAAGATTAGCTTCACTCACATTTGGAAATACTAAAAAATATTTCTTCTCTCCCTTCTCCTTCGCTTGTGGTCGGCCTCGGTGTCTGCCTCTGATCAACTCCGCCCTATTTCCCCACACAGAGCTCCCCCTGCAAACCAGACTAACAAGGCCAAGTGACAAAATGAATTATATCCCTCTGAGATATTTGGCCTTGTTTTCCTTGGGCAAAAGCCTGACTCCTTAAAATGCCCTTGAAAGGAGGACACCTGCTTATTTTCAAGGAGGCTCTGACCCAAGCCCCACGCAGATGGCTGGGCAGAGCATTTTGTGGTGGTCAGGGGTTGCTCATTTTTGGAGCTGGCTTATTAAAAGTTAGATAGGAGACCAAGCAGAGCCTCATGACTCTTTGCCCCTCCATCCATAGTGGGGGGCATTGGCAGCACCTTAGCACACACAGAACAGCCCCTCAGAGAATGCACAGATGTTGATGAACAAGGCTTCTATACATGTTAGTGGAGGAAGAAGAGAAAACAAACTTACTCTCTCATGCACTTATGACTAGAGTCATGTTGGGATCTTGAGGCTAGGGCTTTGTAAAAAAAATGGGATGCTTTTAACAGAAAGGCATATAGAGAAAAGGTGAGACGTGCAGTACAGTCACATGTCACATAATGATGTTTTAGTAAATGACAGACCACATATTCAAAAGTGATCTCATAAGGTTATAACGTAGCCGAAAAATTCCAATCATTTAGTGATGTCATAGCCATTCCAACATCACAGTGCAATGCATCTGATGTTTGTGGTGATGCTGGTGTAAACAAAGCAACCGCACTGCCAGTCTTATAAAAGTATAGAAAATAGGGCTCGGTGTGGTGGCTCATGCCTGTAATCCCAGCACTTTGGGAGGCCTAGGTGGGCAAATTATGAGGTCAGGAGTTCGAGACCAGCCTGGCCAACATAGTGAAACTGCGTCTGTACCGAAAATACAAAAATTAGTTGGGTGTGATGGCAGGTGCCTGTAGTCCCAGCTACTCAGAAAGCTAAGGCAGGAAAATCATTTGAACCCCGGA